TTTGATATATTTCTTGTGGGTTAAAAAGAGTTGGTTCTAAAAGGTTTGCTGCTATCCTAGCACAACAATTGGTATCAGAGCACTGGTTGCTCTTGGGTACTGTCTAGTTGTTAAAGATGTCAGATGGGCAAGATGAAAATCCTTTTGGAAGCAGCTCCGGATTTGCAAGAACTACGGTGCAAAATACAAAGTTCGAAGTGGAAAAGTTTGATGGCACAAACAACTTCGGAATGTGGCAATGTGAGGTCAAAGATGTGTTGGCTCAACAAGATCTACTTGCCGCTTTGGGAGAGAAGCCGGAAGCTATGTCGAAGTCATAATGGGAGAAATTAAATTTGTGGGCTTGCTCTTCAATTCGGTTGTGCCTTGCAAAAACTCAGAAGTATTTTGTGATGCGGGAGACATTAGCAAGTGTGTTGTGGCAAAAATTGGAAGACAAGTATATGACGAAGAGTGCAGAGAACCGGCTACACTTGAAGAAAAAGCTCTACCGCTTCTAATACAAAGAAGGTACAAAAATGATTAGACACCTTGATGCTTTTAATAAGTTGATTGCCGACTTATTAAATTTAGATGAGGATATTAAGGATGAAGATAAGGCCTTAATATTGTTGAATTCCTTGCCGGACTCTTATGAGCATTTTGTTACCACTATTATGCATGGTAAAGAAACTGTGAAATTTGAAGATGTGTCAAATGCCTTGATGAATTATGAAATGAGGCATAGAGATAAAAACCATGATAGTACATCGGAAGCTTTATTTGTTAGAGGTAGATCATCGGAGAGAAGATCATTTTCTAGTAGGAAAAAATCACAGTCTCGACCTAGAGGAAACTCTAAAGGTAGAAAACCTTTGGAAAGGGATGAATGTGCCTTTTGTCATAATAAGGGCCATTGGAAGAAAGATTGTCCTAGGTTGAAGACCAAAGGCAAAAAAAGTTCTGAAGCTAATGTTGCTGAGGTTGAAACAGATTTTTCTGATTTTGCTTTAACCACTTCCTCATCATTTGATTGTGCTACTAAGTGGGTGTTGGATACGGGTTGTACTCATCATATGACTCCTCACAAGGATTGGTTTTCAAGCTTGAAAGAGTTTGATGGTGGCGTTGTGTTCATGGGAGATGACAATCCTTGCATAACAAAATGGATTGGCACAATTCGTTTGAAGTTGCATGATGGCATGGTTAAAGAGTTGACAGGTGTTTGGTATGTACCGAATTTGAAGAAAAATCTTATTTCTTTGGGTACTTTAGAATCCAAGGGCTTCAGGTTTCATTGAGATGGACATACATTGAAAGTTACTTATGGTGCACTTGTTGTGATGAAAGCTCCTCGATGTGGCCATTTGTATTTATTGCAAGGAAGCACTATGACAGGTGAAGCATCTGTAGTCTCTGAAAATATGAGCACATCTGATTCAGATACTACTAGACTGTGGCATATGAGATTAGGCCATGCCGGTGAGAAAGCTCTACAAGGGCTTGTGAAACAAGGTCTTCTAAAAGGTGCCACGACTTGTAAGCTTGATTTCTGCAAGCATTGTGTCTTGGGGAAGCAAACTAGAGTGAAGTTTGGTACTGCTGTACATCAGACGAAGGGCATTCTTGATTATGTGCATTCAGATGTTTGGGGTCCTACAAAGACTCCCTCTTTGAGTGGTAGACATTGGTTTGTGACCTTTGTTGAAGATTATTCAAGAATGTCTTGGGTCTACACTATGAAGCACAAGAGTGAGGTGTTAAACATTTTCTTGGGTTGGAAGAAAATTGTTGAGAACCAGACTGGGAGAAAGATTAAGATTTTGAGATCGGATAATGGTGGTGAATACACATCCGACCCTTTCTTTAAAGTTTGCAAAGAGGTAGGAATTGTGAGACATTTTAGTGTTCGGGGAACTCCACAACAAAATGGAGTTGCAGAAAGATTGAATCGAACCTTGCTTGAGAAGGTTAGATGTATGTTGTCTCAGTCAGGTTTAAGCAAGTCATTTTGGGCAGAAGCAGTTAATTATGCATGTCACATCATCAACCGGTTACCCTCAGCTGCTGTTCAGGGTAAGACACCAATGGAGGTATGGACTGGAAAACCTTCTTCTGATTATGACTATGTCCGTATTTTTGGTTCACCTGCTTCTTTTCATGTGACTGAAAATAAACTTGATCCTAAAGCCAAAAAGGCAATCTTTCTTGGTTTTAGTAGTGGTGTCAAAGGTTACAGGTTGTGGTGCCCAGAGATGAAAAAACTTGTAATCAGCAGAGATGTGACATTTGATGAAGAAAGTATGTACAAAGTCTCTGAGAAGAATGTGAAAGATGTCCAACAGGTGGAGCTTGAGAAAGTTGCCTCTGGTACTTCAAATCCTATTTCCGCTGATGTCGAAGCCACTACAAGTGAAGAAGTTGGAAATCATGAGGATGTTGAAGAAGTTGAACTTGAAGATTCTATTCAAGTTGAAGAGCAAGTTTCACCTCAAGAGTCTATTGCCAAGAACAGAGAAAAGAGACAAATTACCAAGCCAGCTCGGTATAGTGACTATGTTGCTTTTGCTCTTCCTATAATCACTGAAGAGATTCCATCCAATTTTGAGGAAGCTATTGAGAGTGAGGAGAAAAAGAGGTGGTGCAATGTCATGGGTGATGAGATGAATTCTCTCTAGAAGAACAAGACTTGGGAGTTAGCTAAATTGCCTAAGGGCAAGAAAGCTATCGGTTGCAAATGGGTGTATGCCACGAAGGAAGATGCTGATGAGAAAAGCAATGTGAGATTTAAAGCAAGATTAGTTGCTAAAGGGTATGCACAAAAGGAGGGCATTGACTACAATGAAATATTTTCTCCAGTTGTGAAGCACTCCTATGATCTTGAGCTTGTGCAACTCGATGTGAATACGGCTTTCCTACATGGTGATTTGAATGAAGAGATCTATATGTGTCAACCGGATGGGTATATAGTGAAAGGGAAGGAAAATTTGTTTTGCAAATTGAAGAAATCACTTTATGGCTTGAAGCAATCTCCAAGGCAATGGTATTTGAGGTTTGATAAATTTATGAGAGGCCAAAATTATTCTAGAAGTCAATATGATCATTGTGTGTACTTCAAGAAGTTGCAAGATGGGTCTTTCATTTATTTATTGATATATGTTGATGATATGTTGATTGCCTCAAAGAATGTTGAAGAGCTTGAGAAATTGAAGAAACAAATGAAGAATGAGTTTGAGATGAAGGATCTTAGTGAAGCAAAGAAGATCCTTGGCATGGAGATCACTAGAGATAGAGAGAAGGGTTTGGTCAGTTTGAATCAAAGACAATACCTTGAGAAGTTGATTTGGAAGTTTGGAGTTCATGATTCAACCAATCCAGTTAGTACCCTTTTGGCTCCTCATTTTAAATTGAGTTCTCTACAGTGTCATAAAACTGATAAAGAGAAGCTGCAAATGAAAAATATACCATATGCAAATTTGGTTGGTAGTTTGATATATGCAATGGTATGCTCTAGACCAGATATTGCTCATGTAGTTGGCATGGTGAGTCGATATATGCATAATCCAGGTAAAGAGCATTGGCAAACAGCTAAGTGGATATTGAGGTATCTCCATGGTACTCGAGATGTTGGTTTATGCTTTGAGAGAGATGACTCTGGTATTGGTCATTTTGCAGTTGGTTATGTTGATTCAGATTATGCAGGTGATCTGGATGGAAGGAAGTCTACTACAGGCTATGTGTTTACTATGGCTAAAGGGCCAGTTTGTTGGAGGTCCATTTTGCAGTCGTCTGTTGCCTTGTCTACTACAGAGGCTGAATATATGGCAGTTGCTGAAGCTATAAAAGAGGTCATTTGGATACATGCGCTGATTAGAGATTTGGGGGTTGATCAGAAGCAGGTGGAGGTACATTGTGATAGTCAGAGTGCCATTTATTTGGCTAAGTATCAGGTTCATCATGCGAGGACCAAGCACATAGATGTGCGTTATCACTTTGTTCGTGAAATTGTTGGTGAAAGGGAAATCATTCTCTAGAAGATTCCAACTAAAGACAACCCCGCTGATATGTTGACTAAGGTTGTTGGTGTAGCCAAGTTTGTTCACTGTTTGAACTTGGCTCACATTATGCCTATATAAAGAAGGCGTTGAGCAGTAGGAGTTTTGGAGCATTTGGCTCGGCATGAGTTATTCTCTTGCTAATGTTTGGGAGTGATGTTGTGTGTTAATTGTGTTGGTTGGCTTATCATGGCGTTTTTCGGAACTTGGCCAAGGTGGAGATTGTTGAAAAAGTGGCCAAGTAGCCAAGTGGCTATTAAACAAATCAAAAGAAAAAAAAGACAACATGATTATGTTTCTTCCTTGTTTTGGGGAAAATAAAAGTGCAATTTGTCTAAAGTTTTTTCTTTGGTCCATGTGAGAAGTCACGGGACTCCTGGGGTTTTTAACTAGCAGCAACAGCTGCCTTTTGGTGTGGGAGAAAGGTTGTCGCATAGAAGAAGAAAATAGAAAGGAGCAGCAGAAAGAAGAAGAGAGGTACGCAGCTCCCATATAAGAAAGAAAGGTGATTTTCTTTCTTGGTTAGTTCTCACTCCATCAAAGTTTTATTGTTGTAATAGTTTTGAGCTTTATATAGAGAAGAAATTAATCACTATATTTCTTTCTCTATTTGTTTCTTTAGTGTGTGAGAGTTATTGGTTGTATTGGGGTTTTGGGTTGTGAGCTTGCCAACACTTTGTAAACTCCCATTTGGTTGATAGTGGATTATTGGGTGAGCTCCTACTGCTCCGAGGACGTACTCCAGTTACACTGACTGTTGAGGAACCTCGTTAAAATCTTGGTGTCTTTAATATTTTGTTCTTGCATTTCATTTGATATATTTCCTGTGGGTTAAAAATAGTTGGTTCTAAAAGGTTTGGTGCTATCCTAGCACAACAATCTGCCATCCGAGTTGGATGCCCACATCATGTAATCCACAAAATATGATTCAACTAAATAGTCTCTCTAGCATTACACCGCCACACATCTTTTCAACCCATATATATTATAGCTTGCATATATTATATCATGAAATATAAACTCTGTCGCTCACCAATGTTATAATGCGTAGGCTAGTGACAATATTACAGTCACAAAACACATTTTCTCTGATTTAAGATGGGAGCCAAAAACGAAATAAACTTAGATGATCGGTTAAGTGAGGACTAAAATGAAAGAGGAGGGGAATTGAGCAGTTTATAGTGAATAATGGCCATAAATCTCGTACTCTTCTTCTCATAAGAATTTACTGATATCCACAGAACAAGAAGACACGGAGTATCGGACTTCCATTTTACCACTAGTAAACCAATTCACAAGATCAAGTGGTAGTCTGCTTCCTCTCTCCTCGGTCGCTTCGATCTCATGGCTTGCCTACGAATTCCACATCAAACAGAAGAACTGAATCTGGTGGAATGATACACGAGCCTGGACCATGCCGTAGAACGGTACACTTCATCAGGTTCTACAACAAACACAGGGAACAAAATGGAAAATGCATAACATGACTGACTGACTGCTTACCTCCTCTACACCCAGCTCCTCTTCCACCATACGCAAGTTCCGGAGGAAGCTTCAACACGCGTTTCCCCCCTAATCAAGTTGAAAAACAATCAACTTCCTGATGTCGATTATATGAGTAAGAACACAAGAGTAAACAGTGCAATCATGGATTTTGTACAATACCCGCAAGCATTGGAGGAATCCCATCACCGCCTAGAATACCTTGATCCCACCCTTTGATGACCTGTGAAGTTTACAGAATACAATACTTTAGTTCAATCTAGGGGTAGCGAAAACCGCTACGTGTGCTACACTTACTGATCAATTAGTAATGTGATAACTAAATGCAGTAAAAGTCATTACGTTTGGGTTAAATTCTTAACCCTGCAAAAGATGGGGTGATTTCATTCAAGAAGGTTGATGCGTTCTATAGGCACAAGGTTGCACACATTCGGCGAAAGGAGAGATGGTTCTAAGCCTTGGCAACAGCACAAAGATACTACCTTCTGCATTGTTTCCATTGTCCTACTTCCGTAAAAATTCAACACAATGCTCCCTCTCCTATCAATATTACATGCTCCAAATTTCGGGCTTCATCCGAAATCATTGGATCATTTTTTTCCCTTTCAGGCAACAATTTATCACAAAGCAAGCCACCCAAACATCAAGTCAGGTTCTTGAGCTAGCAAATCAAAGTACCGAAAGCAGGAGACCGCCAAATTTAGACAAGTTCATAGCTCAAATAAACAGATTTCTTGATTTGATATTGGTCAAGGCAATTAAGCACAGCATTGCTGAAAATTATGAACACATTCATATAACTCATGGATGTACAATTAGCGACACACCTCACCAACACCGACACGAAAAGTAAGAGGTTTCCCACGATTGTAGCTGCTGTCAAACACCTTTCCATTCTCCAATTTCCCAACATAGTGTGCCTGTGCATTTGTTTCACAAAATTGTTCAGAACCCACATGTAAAAACACCCTAATCGTAATTAGTTAATTACAATTCTTAATATCGTGTTTGCTTCAAGAATTTAAATACATAAACAAGAAACCCATATTGTAGAATCCAGTAATAGGCTTTGATTATCTGGAAAAATAAATTCCTGATTAATTACCTTAATCAGCTGTCCTTGAACAGCCTCAGGGCCATACCCCACAACTTTGTCACAGAAAGCAAGGCCAGATGGAGCCACGGTTAGCTCACAAGCTGCTGCCCCCTCAGCTGCTTTTGTGGGCTGAGGAAGCAAAAGCACATCAAGAAGCCCAAAGCAGAAGCCAAAACCAATTGCTTCTCTTCTGCTGAACAAATTTGGCTTCTCATTATTCTGCAGTTGTTGGGAAGAAGAAGAAGAAGAAGAAGAAGAAAAGCTCCTGTGTGGGTGGCTTAAGATATTGAGTTTTGGTGCTTCTGATTTGCTGAGATGATCCCTTTGGAGCAAAATGTTGGGTGTTTTCAAGTTTCTGGGACTGCAAGTGCCAAGTGAAGATGCCAAGGAATTCATTTGCAATTTTGAACCAACCAGTTATCAACTGAGAGATAAAACAAAGATTGGCTTCTGCAATAAAGTTGTGAGGAATGTTATATGGGCCAAGATGTCCCAAATAGGATTTATCAGTGACTATCTGGAAAGCCCAATTAGGATTTGCCAAATTGGATATAATGGTTATGAAATAATTTACAGGATAAAATTATGAGAGTTTTAACAAAAACACTTCTATTACTATTCATTTTTAACGAAAAATTACATTTTTGTCTTTAACTGTCACTATTCACTATACCTTTAAAAATGACTTTTCATTAAAATGGAAGTTTTTTTGGATTTTTCGTTAGTTTTCCTTAAAATTAGAGCTAATTTGAAAAATGTGACCGAATAAATTACGTTTCACGTCTGTTAAACACTCATAAATTCTCTTAAAATTAGTTTGTGTTTATATAGTCATTACGCGATAGATATATCACAGGATAAGAGTATATTCAGCACAAAAACTTATTCTCTGCTCGAGATGATACAACGATTGTATTTCAAACCTATCAAGCACTTCTATGTACGTTAATTTACTATTAGTTTATATGTCAATGCCTAACTAGCGTTGAATATCACTATCGTATCATCTCAAGCGTCGGTAAGTCTCTTTGCTCTTGGCCTAATGTGCATTACACACCGAAAACCCACATACTCTTTTTCTTCTTTTACACACCATTGCATTTTTTTTTTTGGTAATGAGAAAAGGACCAGGATACCCTATAGATCTAAAAAATCTGAGCCTTATGATCAAATGATCCGGACAGTTGAAATTTGATCCAACGGTTACAAATAGGAAACCCCTAAATAAGTTATAATAATTATAGCAGTTTGATCAAATTTTAACGGTCCGAATCATTTAATCCTTAGGCTCAGATTTTTTGGATCCGGAGAAGATCCGGATTCATTAGAAAATACCTGGGAGAAATAAGAAATGAAGAGTTTGCCAAAAAAAATAAGAAATGAAGATATTCCGGATCTGTTAAAATATGGACACTCATTTCAGTCAACGCCCAGCAAACCACACCTAGCTTCCTTCGACCTCCCGAATCCCCTACCTCTCTCTCTCTCTCTCTCCTTGGCCTAACTTCCCAGGGATAGAAGATTTCCGTCCGTTCACCGGTGGCCTGAGAGATTGTTCAAGGTGTGTGCAGAGTACCTTATATTGTTTTCGTTTCAATTTGCTTTCGATCGTTTGTATTTTTCTAAATTCCTGGGTTTGTTTGTGAAAGATTGGAACTTTAAATTGTGAAACCCTGTGTCTTAAATATAATTCTCTGTTAAAAAACTAAATAAAAATTTGAGGCACCCGCACTGTACATAACTAGTTTGAACAGAAAATTTACGCAATCTATATTTTTCTGTCAGGTGATATTTTGCAACTCGAGTAAAAGTTCAAGTGGCATTGCTATAAATTTCCCCAACTTTCGCTCCAATTTATGTTTCTAAGTGTCGATCTTACCCCATCAGAATTCCTTGGAAGCTTGCTACCAAAAGTAAATATATAGCTGCAGCAGAATAGTATATCACCGAGTGACCATCAGAGTTGATCACGATGATATGCATTGAAGATCTTCCTGACCCTTTATTGGTTGAAATCCTTTGTCGAATTCCTTGCAGTAAAGTTGTCTTTCAGTGCAAAAGTGTGTCGAAGCGTTGGTTACGTCTCATCTCCGATCCTTCTTTTCTTCGCCGTTTTCTATGTGTCCAACGCGTTCAACAGAAGCCCATCCTAAGTACTCTAGTTATATTGGCCTTTAGCGACGTGGAGGGGCACAAAACTGAAGTCTTTACAACGTCCAAACATCCGCTGTTCCAATCAAGCAATCTCTCTCTAAGTTTCCTTCCGTGTTTTGGCGATAAAGAAGACCGTGAACCAGTTGTGGTAGCTACTTATAATGACTTGATTTTGTGCTGCGCGACGAATAGGCTTGGAGGTGATTACTACATTTGCAATCCTTACACCAAGCAATGGGTTGCTCTTCCGCCCGCCCCTCAAGTCCACAATGGTGAAGTTGCACCATTGGGAGTGGGATTCATGTGTGATCCATACTACAATTCCTCTTCTCGAGAAGACGGTAGCAGTACAAGTTTTGATATCATCCAGCTTAATACTGAGTATAGGTGGACGATTGTGCGAATGGTTCGGAATTCATCAGATGCTGGCTACCATGTGGAGATGATCTCTACTGAGACTAGAGGTGAATGGAGAGAGTTGGCTCTGTTATGCAGCCCACAACAGTTAAAACACTTGCAAAGTATTCATACTGATGTTGAAGGTTTCATTTCCTATTCAGCCGTTGCTCACAATGGAAAGTTTTATTGGTTGCCTACTACTTCTGAATGTACTTTTGAGTTGGACCCATTCATTACTGATAGTAGTGGTGATAATGTTGCTAAATGTCGTTTCATCGACGAGCCGGACGCTTTTTTTATTAGCGCAAGTAACTGGCATCTAGGTGTGTGCAAAGGGTGTCTGCGGATGTGCAAGGTGGGATTAGGTGCTGATGATCCCTTCAGTGTTTGGGAGCTGAAATTGCAAGAGGCGCCCGAGGGAGATTGGGAATTTGAATGGTTAGCCGATAGAATAACCCAGCCTTTCGATGATATTCCTTTGTTCTCTGAACAGGAAGACAGAAGCGGCACGGTTGAGATGCTAAGTTTCCACCCGAATAATCAAGATATCGTGTATTTCAGATTTGATCAACACATTGTCACGGGCAACTTTCGCGAAGGAAAGTTAGAGTTAGAGAAAGCTGCAAAGACTCCGTTTGATATCGGTTCTTGGAGAGAGGTCTACACATTTGCGCTCCCATGGTGGCCGACGCCAGTTCCTAAACTCTAGGAACTAGTCCTTTTTGTTACTTTTCGTTGTTTGCTAGCCTGTGGCGTGTGTACCTCTCATTTCATTTCATGTTGTTTCTTATATCATGTTAAACTCGGTGTTCTTGTATTTCTCATTTACGTTTTGAACTGCATCTCATGCATTTCCTAATCAAAAATTTTAATTTCCCAAACCAAAGCAAAAATTTGAGCATTCTCATTTAAGTTTACCAACAATAATATAGTATAATTGCGAAAAATAGTTTTAAGTAGAATATAAAGTTCCTAAAACGTAAATTAGGGTTTCATGTTATGGTGCAATCAATTTCAAAAAATATCGAACTTAAATCCTGGTTAGAGGGTACTTCGATTGCTTGATATATTGTGAACATGTTCGTAGAAGAATCAAAACTTCAATTCCAAAGTTCTATCTTCAATACATTGCATCACATCCAACAGAGATATTGAAAGATGAACAATTGAATTAATAGCAAGTAGATCAATTCAATAAAATAGAAAGTGAAGGAAGGAAAGAATCACTTGAGGAATTATATGATTTATATTCCTCAATCTTTGTACCTTTATTTATACTAGTAAAGCGAAAAAGAAAATTGCCCTCCAATTATATGATTTATAATAGAATTTCTATACATAATCTGCTAGGATTTATACAATTACATATCTAATTGAATAATAACTGCAACATAACCTTTATTGTCCACTTATATTATAACACATGAGAGTTTAAGATTAATCTCAAGAGAATCCTAAACCCTATTAATAACAGCCGTTACGTATTTTGTTCGTCTACGTGTTCTTTTAATCTCAAGAGAACTCTAACCCCATCAAAGTTGTTTTAATACTGCTACAGAAACCGAAGGAAGTTGCAGTATATTAGTATAAAAAAGATTGTCGTCAACCAAGTCCACAATGGTGAAACTAACCCGTAGGAGTGGGATTCATGTGTGATCCATGTTATAACAACTCCCCATCTAAGAAAGACTGTAGCAGTACTAGTTATAATATCATCCAACTTAATGTTGAGTATAGGTGGGTGGTTGTGCGACGATTATCGGATCATGACGGCTTCAATGTGGAGATGATCTCTTCTGAGACTAGGGGTGAATGGAGGGTGTTCGCTTGGTTACGCGGCCAACAAAGGATTCGCAGTTGTTTTCCTTTGAATTTTACTTCTCATTCGGCTGTTGCTCACAACGGTAGGTTTTACTGGAAGATTAATGATTTTGCTTATACTTTTGAGTTGGATCCGTGGGGTAGTTTTAGTAGTGGTGATAATATTCCTAAATATCTTTTCATTCAGGAGCCTGATGCCCTATGTTATGGAGATAATTGGATTCTAGGTGAGAGTGGAGGGTGTCTGCGGATGTGTAAGGTGACATGGAGTGGTGATGATCAATTCAGTATTTGGGAGTTCAAATTACCAGAGGCACCCGACAAAGCCAACAAATGCATATGGTCAGTCCACGGAGTTTCCCTGCCTTCCAAGGATATTGATTTGATCTCTGAACAGTTAAGCAACAGACACCTCTGGGTTGAGTTGTTAAATTTCCACCCGAATAATCAAGACACCGTGTATTTCAGATTCGGTGAAGACGTTTTCATGTATCACATAGGTGAAGGAAGGTTAGAACTATCCGCAAAGATTTCATTTAATTTTTGGAGAGAGTTACCCATATGCGCTCCCGTGGTGGCCAACACCAGTTCCTAGACTCTAGGAATTAGTCTTATTCTTACGTTTGGCTGTTTGCTGGTTTGTTACGTTTGGTTGTTTGCTGGTTGTGCGGCTTGTGCCGGCCTGTGTCCGTCTTGTTGGGTGTGTGTTTCCTGGTTGTTTCTTACTGTTTTTTAGCAGTCAAGTTAATAAACGATGCAGATGAGTATAATTCTTTTGATCCCATTGCGGTATTAGCGAAGAAAGAAAGATATACAATATGTACACTATGCAATCAAATGTTAAAAAATGAACGTTCCTACTAATTGCATTTTTCTTTTTCTCTGATAACAAATACAATATGTACACTAAAACAACAATGATTGCCAAGAATGAAAAATTGTGGGGAAGAAGGGGGTGAAACAGCAACAATTGGTTTGCAAGAAACTACTGAATGTAACTTCTACTATAGTACATTGAGGAGACAAATCCGATCAACCGTTTGCACGTGATACATACAGCTTAAATTTGATCAAATGCCGGCTGTCAATGTTGATTTACCTGGAAAATTAGTTTTTTTTATCAGTCAGATTTTATCCACCATCTCATCAGTAGTTGAACATAACAATCAAACCAGATAATGTTATTTTTCCGGACAATGTACTACGATGTAATAATATTGAAGGCTCACCGCAAGTTCATAACTTGCCCAAGGAGAGATGGAATGTGAACTTTCTGCTATCCACTTCTAACAAAACTAGATGCCCCGATCTTCCTTACACGTTGGTTGTCCATTAAATTCCTCACTCTTTCTGCATCCTCTCACTTCCCACCCAAAGCATACAAACTCGAGAGGAGAATAAACCTCACCATCGTTCTCTCGTTTTGCCTTGACCTGCTCAACCACTGGTTCCGCCATCTCAAACTGTTTATGCTCCTTAAAAGCAGATAAAAAAGCAGTCAGAATAACGACAATGGGCTCAAGACTCATTTTCCTAATAACCTCGTAAGCTTCCTCTAAAAGTCCTGCCTTGCCATACAAGTTTCTACATTATTCTCCGATATCACATCATTTTTTTCTTATCCTTTGCGGCGTGGTTTCTGTACTCAACTTCAATTATTGTGGTGGGGTATGATTGGGGCAGGTTTTTACAGAATTTGGCAAGCTCGAAATTTAATCCCTTTTGAAGGAAAAATGTTTACAGTTGATCAGTTGGTTAATGGCATTCTCTTGCAAGTTTGTGAGGTGAATTCTTGGGGTATGGGTTTTATGTTAAATTCAGTTGATGAACTTTGCATTCTTAGAGCGCTTGGAATGCATGGAAGGCCTTCAAGGGCACCTAGAATTCATGAGGTTATTTTGACTTCTCCTTTTTCTTTTCAAGTTAAAGTTAACACTGATGGTGCGGTTTGTGGTTCTCCCGGTATGGCTGGTTTTGGTGGTCTTTTCTGTGACCACTTGGGTCATTGTCTTGGATGCTTTGTAAGAACTTTTGGTATTGCGACTGCCTTGGAGGCAACTAAAGCTATTATTCATGATGTTTCTATGGCTTTGGAGAGGGGTTGGCATTCTCTTTGGATTGAGTGTGATTCTTGTTTAGCAGTGCATTTTTTTTGTAATGGATCTTCTCAGGTGCCTAGGCATTTATCGGTGGATTGGGCAAATTGTTGTGCCATCCTCTCTTCCATGCAAGTTCGGTTTTCTCACATTTATGGCGAAGAAAATCAGGTGGCAGGTTGTTTGGAAAACTATGGTATTAATAAGGTTGGGGTTCATTGGTGGGATTCTTGTCTGCCGTGTGCAGTTGTAGCTATTGCTCATAATCTTTCGGGGCTTCCAAATTGTCGTTTCTCTTAGAAATTCTCTTAATTGATTTTTTTGTTTCTAATAATTTTCTTCTTGTTAGGGAAACGGCTTCATGTCCCCTCTAACTTATTGATTCTTTACTTTTTTTTCTTAATATATTTTCACAATAAAAAAATTTAAATAAACCATGCATCCGTAATGCTGAATTCTAGGCTCCAAGCCAGTTTCTTCGATCAACTTGAAATATTTCCAGCCCTCCTCAACTAGTCCTGCATGCACACAAGCACTAGAACTCCTGTAAAAGTAAGTTCATTAGGTCTTACACTGGCTTTTCGTATCATCTCAAACAAAAACGACGATGCTGCTTCGCTGTGGCCATGTTGTGCCGGTTCACAAATCAACACGGTCCAAGTCCTGCCTTCCCATACAAATCGACCATGCATCCATAATGCTGAATTGTGGGTTCCAAGCCACTTTCTTCCACCAACTTGAAGTATTTTCTAAAAAAATGGCAGAACGTATGTATGCATGTGCTAAGAGATTATACTCCAATATTGAATATCGAATATGAAGATAGTACAACCCTAATATACAAACTAGCAACAACCTTTACAAGGCAAGTTTGACAAATTACAACAGCAGACAAGATCCTATAATCAAGTCCTACAATCAACGTCCTATACAATCATAATCAAAATATTTAAATTAATACCAATTTCAACACTCCCCCTTAAGTTGGAGCATGCATGTTGTGAATGCTCAACTTGTTGAGAAGAGAATGAAATGTTGCATTTGCTTTGTGCTTTTATGTCAATGTCCAATTGGTGCCTTGTTGAAGGTGTCTTCTTGTGAATCATCAATTAATTTCAATTTTTTGGTTCAAATGTCTGTTGAAATTGTTTGGATTATTGGCTGCAATATGTAAAGTAGCCTTTTGTCAGTAAACATGAGCTGGAGCTGCATGAAGGCATTGTGCTTTTAAGTCTTGTAACAAATAACGAAGTGTAAGTTTCCAAGTGATTTAGCCTTGATCTATCAAATTTCTTTTGTCTTGCAGACGAACATTAATGTTTAATTTTGTATGTCCTTGAGATTATTTTAAGACTCAATAACCTTTAGAGTCTTTTTCTTTGTGATGCCCTTGAGCATTCAGTCTAATTAATTGTGATATCTGCCTTGTTATATATGTGTCCCAAATCAACCCTTGTCCCTTTGGATTTTTAAATTCAGCCCTGTCTGTAATTTCAAATTTTTTCCATGGAAATCAATTTGGACTTGATGCCCCTCAATGGTATGTCAGTATGTCTAAAATATATTTCCTTTGTGAGATAGAAATTCGTTGTGATTGAGCCACCTTGATTCCAAGGTATTTTGATTCCAAGGTCCTTAATGCTCCATGGATCAATGATTTGAATGTGAGTGTGTTATAGTATATTTCCTGATAATTTAATTCATTCATGAGTCAAACTAAGAACTGTTAGAATCCTCTCGATGTGTTTGAAATCAATTTGTAATGATTTTAAGAACTTTTGTAATTCATATTTAAGTTGAATGCCTATGAAAACTTAGAGATCATGAACTCCTCTTCTAAATGCTCGAGAATGACATGACCTTGAAACTCAAGCTTGGAGGAGTTAAGTGTCTACTTGGAGAGGTGGTGCATTCCTCCAAATGTGGACAAATGCATTGTTGCATTGCAAGTTGGAGAGGCCAGTTGTTG